TATTTGAAGGCTATTCATAGCATAGGTTCTCCTTTTGATGCTATGTAATCACTATAAGGGAATATTCCAGCTCCATTAAGTGTTATGTTAAAGCTATGTAAGTTGTATTTCAAATATATGCAGAGGCTATTTAAAGGCTATTTCATTTCAGTGTCATCAGCTAACTTCAAAATTCATTTGAATACATAGCTTTTACATAGACTATGTAAAGGTTCCATTTGACTAGCAAATACATAGAATTTGTTATTAAAATACATAGAGTAAACATATAGACAAAATAGAGTTTCAATAAGGCAGCTAACATAGTTTTCTAATACCCAAAACATACATTTTACATAGCTTACTGGCATAGCATTTACATATGTTGTACATAGTGTCTGATTCTACAAGGGAAGACACGCTAGAATGCTCTTAAAGAACATAAGCACGTGGTCCCAAGGGAAGCTAACACAACTTAAATTGGTTTCTTAAAAGAGAAGTGAGACGAGCAAAACAATAATAAACTGAAAGATTGTGTACTTACATATCTAACCCACGCAGTAAAGCCTTTGAGAAGACTTGCTAGACCTCAGAACAACGATGATAAACCTCCTTACAAAACCTACTGACTGTACAAACAAAACACGCTCCTACCCTGAGCGATTATAAATGTGAGCTAGACCGAGAGCCTTTGCGCAACAAAAGGATGAAATAACAGTAACCAAAAGGAATATCGGAAATGAAAGCAAAAGTAAACAAAACAGAAACCATAACAGTATGGTCATCAGTTAGGAGAATTAGCTTTTAGATCTCAGGAGTGAACAGGTTAAGAAATTTCCAACTTAATAGTTCCATATTGTGATAAAAAAGTAAATTTCAACTAATTAACAAGATTTATCTCTGAATTACTACAATAATATAAACAAAGAATATAAATAACAGCAGTTCAATGAGTATTGAAATTTCCAATTTCCAACTTTGTTGTCCAGCTGAGAGTTCAAAAACTGGTGTTATTTCCATTTGGTGGGTTGAAGTTGTGTTTGTAAAGACTAATCACTAGACTGATTACTTGTGACACCTATTGTTGGTGATAAAAGTTTCCACTTGGTTCTGGCTGGCTTTGTGGGCTATAGAACTGGGTATACACACATTCGGCTTCCTGAGGTGTAACTTGTACTGGGTTTTGATAGATTAAATTATTTACAGGTGCCCGTACTGTAGGTTGCAATGCTTGTGAAAGCATCTTAATTGATCTACAAACTCCAGTACCAAGATCAGTCATAGCCTTACTGACACCTTCAATACTTCAGGAAAAAATTTCTGTGGATTCCCGCATTGCCTCAGGCAGTTCCTTCCGAAATAGGGCATCTTCCTTAGCTTCTTTAATAAGTAACTGGTCCCTATGGGCTGCAGACAGCTACTTTTCTACGTGCTTCCTTTTGCTTTTGATTAGCCTAGGCACACAGCTAACTTTCTGTTTCCTAGTATGAGCCACATTGTCATTTTCATTACTACCACTAGTACCAAGCTCACTTGAAATTGCTGACAAACCTGCATTTTCCAAATCCAAGCTATTAACTTTCTCTTCTTCCAAAGGGACCTCCAGTGGCGTCATTGTCTTCCACAAGATCAACTCCTCCCACACCATAGGAAAGGGGTTCTGTGCCAGCTGAACCACTCGACAGTGTGATCAGTTTATCATAGAATTTATAAACAATTTTCCCACTGCCACTCCTACTACCACAAACTACAGCTTTTGAGAAATTCTGTCTGTTTTCTTTCACTTTTTCCATTACTCTCTTCTGACCTTTGGTTATCAAATCTTTTGACTCTTTTACACGATTTTTGGCTTTGTTTTTCTCTTCCTTTGAAAGGATGTCAAAATTATCCGGCAGTACTATGCTTGCTACAGGACCAAACAGAGATGCATCATCGTCCGCATAAATTTTTGTCATCTCCACTCGCAGCTCTTGATACTGGATTTGTTTGTCCAAGGCAAGGCTTCTATACTCCATCTTTGATTTATATTCAAGCAAGCAGTCAATCAACTGGCTTATCATCTGGGTTTCCGAGCGAAATCGCTTCAAATTCGAGCTGATTTGAACTTAGCGCAACACTATGTTGAACACGTGTGAAACCGTGTGGGGTCATGCATAGTTGAATATGTTTAGTCTTGGTAACCGGGATGGAGTGTGATGAGCTTTTCTACCTTCCTGAAAATGGTGAGTTTGAAGATTTCAAATGTCCTCCCTTACAGAAAATTAGTACACTAAAGTATACTTTGAGTATACTTCAAGTATGCCTCATTTGTACTTCCCACTGAAAAAGTACACTAGAAGTATACTTCATTTACACTTCAAAATAGAAAAGTAAAAAGGAAGTATATTCCTTTTTTATGCGATTCAAGGGAAGTATACTTTCAGTATGCTTCAAACTTTTTTACGAAGTGAAGTATACTTTTAGTATACTTCATAAAACATGAAGAAAAGAAATTTTTCCAACCAATAAGCACAGCTGATTAAGTATACATTTAAAGAGGCAATTAATTAACATTTAATATGTTTCATCAACACTTACAAAATAAGTTGTAGCAATTACTTCAATTAAACAATCAATTAGACTGCCTAATAAATAAATACTATTCATAAAAAACTAAAACCATCACTCAACGTGCAGTCTGATTCTGTCTGCGCAAAGCTATTCTCTGATGATTAGTGCATTTACATAATCCACGCATACTGGAATGCAATCTGTTTCAAACTCAACTTGTAAATAACAACTTTGACATTAGCATTAATGACCCCAGTCTTGAAAATGATGGTCGATGCATTGAAATGTCAAATTACCGGTAAAACACTTTCCATCTTTCTTGTCAAATGTTTTAACAAGCAACTCATTATTCGCTTCACTTATTAATGTTTTCTTTTTTTTTCGATTTTAACTATTAATAGCAATACCATAATACAACTGACTAAGAGACAAAGCAGACCACACCTGGGTTCCTTTCAAAATACAACTGTAAATCAAAAGTCAATTTCTGTTCCCGCTGTCACTGTAATTATTACTTTTCATGAAAGAGTTCAGTCCTTCTCATACCTGTTTGGTAATTTGCAGACAAACATGCATTGGCTATGACTGGAATCCACAAGGACACATGTTATTGGAAATAACACATTAGCACACCCTACCCTCCTTACTGGAATAATGTGACACAGCTTACAGTCCGTGAACTGATCAGAGGACATTATAATGTCTGTAGCTGGTTTAAAACAAGAATCCGCAATGCCATAATAACGTGCGCCAGTTAAGAAGATAAGGCAAGAACTGTAAGAAGCAGCATTCGAGTATTGGAACGGAGATTTATTCTGATCAACAAATGACGCGAACTACATCTGGTTCAACTGCCTTGTGAGATCTGTTGCACATGGTTGTGCAATGACGCATAAATACATTTGATTGGCTTAATCAACAATAGAACAAAACTCGTGTGGTTAAATATCAAATAGCAAGTCACGCAACTTGTCATCTTCCCTTTCTCCAAAAGAATGTTAAAACAAAACACACTGTCATAATAAGTTCTCAACAAAGTTCTC